ACTCCTTCCCACCAGATCTCCATGAAAAGTGGGACGAAGTTGAAGGGAAACCGCCGCGGAAACGCTTGGAGTCGCTCTTTGACCCGGCGTTGGAGGTGCATGGATAGATTGCGAATGTCAACAACAACCTTGTAGTGGATAGGTGCGTCACCGTCATTAACTTCATGTTGAAGCAGAATCAGAGTCTGTTTCTCTACGTCCAATGACCAGTCCAAGGCCCCACTAACGGTAACGTGGACTTGATGCTCGCCGTAATGGTATCTCGGGATGAAGATCTCAGTTGAACGAGACTTTTCTGCTGTTGTCTGCATCTTCTTGCTGCGCCACTCGAACTCGTACCGCAGTGTCCGGTGGTCCCAATGGGATCTGGTTGGTTCTCCGGCAGTTTTGACGGCATATGGTCTTATGACGACGTCGAGGAGCCTGCCTCTATGGTATAATTCGTCCTCCTCATGTAGGCCGTTTCGATAATCTGAACAAGCTCTCAAAAGCTTACCATTCCCATCTTCTCCCATAGTTTCGTCCCCAGTCATAACAGAGAAGTCCTCCTTATTCCACCCGTCGCCGTACTCAACACGATTGTCTGGGTTGTAATGCCACAAGGTGAATCCATCTACCAAACTGTCCTCCATCGCACCGATAAGGGCTCCCATGAGCTCGCGTTGCTTGTCATAATCTCCCGTCGCGAATGCCGAGCCGCCATTGATGTCGTACGGAATGCCTACCTCACCGATGACAATTGGTGTCTGGCCCAGGGAGGCACGGCCTTGTCTGACAATGTTACTGATTTGCTTGCGGTAGTTTTTACGCAACCCGGTGGCACCAAAGTACAACGCCTTGAAGACGAACATGCCCCGAGCAAGACCCTGGACATCGACACTCATCCAGCCATGAAGTTTACTGAACAAGACCTGAAGATCGTAGAAATGAGGGGCATAGACGAAGTTGCGCGGACGAAGCTCGGCGGGGATGTTTGTCCGCGCAGCATACCTCTGCTGCCGGTAAGCCGCCTCGGGAGTGTTCTCCGAACCAGATGGCCATGGAGGCATGAATTCGTTAGGGAGTGGCCCCACGAAAGAAAAGTGCTTCTGAAGATTGCGAGAGACTCGTTGGGAGAAGCGCTGTAGGAATGGAGCATAACAGTCGCGATACCATTCAATTCGCCTCCCTTGGTGCTCTGGTCGGTGGTCGTAGTCAAAGTAATCGTCTCGCAGTACCACAGCCGTCTGTTTTACCTGATCCCAATCCCATACACCGTGAGCACGCCATATACACTTACCCAAGCCTCGGGGTTGGTCGGTCACTGCTACAGACTCTTCGTCAAACCAGGCCGAACGGCCTTTGGGATCAATCAGTGACTGGTGCGAGACACGTGTTGGGAACGGCCACGACTTGACATAGTAGGGGACCGTCTGTGCATAGCCGCTGCCAAGCGCTAGAGCTTGTGCGAACGATGGATAGTGTCCGATATGGAGGTCCGTATCATAGTTCCAGCTATGATAGCTATGCAGGTTGACGAGCCCGCGATGCGGCTCATTCATGGGCTCGAAGCCTAAGCAGGCCTCCAAATCCGCAATGGCATCTGCAAGTCGCCCGAATGCCTCGATAAGTGAGTCTTGCAAGAAGGACTGTATCGAGACATCCTCAGCAGCTCCCTCACCGCTTAGTAGCGAGCGCCGACATCTCAGCTTAGGTGCCAGCGCATCCCCAGCCCAGAAGAGGGTGGCCATCGTTGAAGCTGCCAGCTTCTGATAACCCGATGGCCACACGAACGGGCCACTGGGCTCCTTTTCATTAATTGGTGCTTTCATTCGCCGTAGCTCGTCCTGTCCATGTACATAAGCCGCGCCCGTGTCGGTAAAAGCCTCAATATGGAGACCTGCGGCTTCGAAGGTCCAGCCTGGGGCACCGCTGCCCCCGCTGAACCGGCTCCAGACATCCTGATGAGCGCAGATGAAGCACTTTATGCCATAGGAGGGCATGAGTTGCATGAGACTCCGCAGATAGGCGATATACTCAAGATCCAAGTCGGTATTGGGGTTCGGGCCGGCATGGCCTATGGATTCCCAGGTGATCAGTAGACGGATGAAGGGAAGACCCCATGCCTGCAAGCGACGGAAATGCAGGGGAGCCTCCTCGATTGGAAATGGCCTGCCTATGAAGGTGACCGTGCGGTGTTCGTAGAAACCATCGGTGAGATGGGTCAGTCCGCTGGGCTCGATCGGTAGCTTGCTTGCGCCGGACACGTTATATCCACGCAGAGACACTGTGCGACCATAGCCGTCGACGAAGTGGCCATCTTGTATGCTAATTGAGCCTCCTAGGGCAGCATCAGAGAGGTCTTGTGCTGCGTGCGATTCGAACATGTCGCACAGCCAGTTATGGGTGATGAGGACACGCGTATCGCCAAGAGACGGGACTTCAGTAGTCTGATACAATCAAGAACCCCATGTCCCCACTTTTTGCTAAGTAGCACCCAAACACCTATACACTTGATAGCCTCGGCTTAGTCATGTCTTGTCATTATTACAGAACTACAGTTCAGAGTGAAACGTGTCATTAACCGCCTTGTATATATTCAACATCGGTCCCAATGATTCACTGCGGCCCTTAGATCAACTAATTATCGCTTGGAAGCAGAAAAGGTACGCCAAGGCCCCTTGTCTTAAGTACCATTCAGACGTCTTGTTTCCTGTTTTTCCATGATGTGTCACTGGTGGTGCATAACATTTCGAAGAAACAATCGACTCATGGTGCCGCATTGGCACCAAGAGATCAGAAAAATCTTTTCTTCCTTGGCGAACATCGACAAACATATGGTTCAAAGCCTCTTCAACCTGTCAGCTTCAGCAACAGTCTAGCAAAATGTTTGAGACACATCTAGCATGTGAGACTGAAATGCTTGAATATCATGCTGTGTCACTACGTAGGACCAGTCGATTAGACTGTAATGGGTTTTATGCTGGGCATAGTGTCTCACAGGTAAATCTGGTGACTCTTTAAGGTTGGGATAAGATGAAGTAAACCAAAAAGGTCTTGAAAACTTCAACCTCCGTTTTCGTATCAAGGAGTCCGGTATGATTGAGGCGAAACTCAAGATATCAGCTCGCCCGCCTCAGGCCTCAGGAGATTATCTCTTCGGCATTTGGATGATAGTCATACCCTCACCAAACCAATACCCATACGGATATTGTGCGTAGATTTTCAATCGCCCTATTCTTCGATAAGTCTTCTCTCTTCCTCCAACCTTCTCTAGCAACAGCCAATAGCCTGCTTTGTAAAATCGCATGTCATACATAATTCGATGCCCCACATTAGTACATCCTCTCCAGCAGGCCAGTCTTCTTGTAATCCCATGGCGAGATTACTCTACCATCGGTACCATAGTTGTTTGCCCAGTCGTCTGTGGTATCCTCGTAAGCACGACCAGCGACACATCCGCTAGTTCCGTCACTTTGCCAGATGACATGCCTCAGCTTGGCTCGGACCTTCATGAAAGCGTCTGTCACCATACCAAATCGTTTTTGCTGAGAGTGCAGTGTAGTATAGATATCGAGAACGACGCAGGTCTTGTTATATTACTATTCATATCGTCTGATGGTAGTATACTTGCCCGGATAATGTCGACGTCAAATATCCGCGCATTGAATGCGGCCCATGACCATGACGGAGCTTGATGTATCGACGGATGACGGGGCTAACTGATGTCCCACTGCGTCCAGAGATACTGTCGCAGCAAGTCTTCTTTCCAAAGACCAGCAAGATTCTCTGTGACCGGTTTTGTCCAGGAACACTCTTCGGCCATGGCAGCAATCCCGATAAGCTTGTCTGTCTCTAAAGTCCTATATCGGTCCGTGTAAGCGTCGATGACGGCTCCCCAACTGTGTGGCTGTGTGGATGTGGAAGCGCTCCGAAGACCTGATTCCCTGGCTCCACGGCATTGACAGTGCTGTGGACGTGCTTCTCTCCGTCATTACCGCCATCACGGTGTGTGGTGTGCGGGTAGCGGTAGAACATCTCAAGGCCATCGTAAACCAGAACCCGTGTGGAGAGGAGTAGTTCCTGAAAGGTTCAGCCCCGGTGATAGAGTTCGTGATGAGGATTTACTACCACCGTATATCTAACAGCCACCACAAGGAAATCGCCGAAGAGATTGGCATCAAATCGCGCGGCCACTCTAGTCGGACGCCATGTCTCGCCCGAGTGGAGGAAGCCCTCTAAGCTTGCTCGCGCTGCAGCTACGGCAACCGTCACTGTAGAACCGCGCGGTATATCAGATGGATCTGAGCGTTCTGCTCTGTCTTGTCGCCTTTGTCGCTCCCACTGTCACTTCTTTCTGCAGTATCGGGAGGCCTGGATTCCTCTCCTGCTTCGAACTCGCCAGGGCTACTATCCTCGTCAAGTCTCATTGTGTTGTCTCCCAACGACTGTGGTAGCGCTCGATACGTTTGGGCGAAAGTCAGCATAGGCCCAGACATCGTCCTTCGAAGAAGTTATATTCCAGCACCAAGAATAATGTAAGGCTGGTTCGCGGGTAAAGGAATATACTCGCTAGCCAATGATACAGCTTCAAGCGAATATCACGTCACGTATGCATCAACTTGCATTGCAGGCTGACTGACAAACCCAGTACCTTGAGTAAGTTGCATTTTTTTACTTTTATATCTTTGGTCATCATAGTGGGTTCCGCGAAGGAAATTTTGGAAGTTGTGCTAATTCTCACAGACGTACAATGGCGTTCTCCTAACCAAAGGTGGTGAACCGAATTAGGGGTTTATATTTCAGAATCAGTGTTAGTAGAATGTAGCTCAGCTGGATAAGATGGCTTGTTATCGACAACGGATAAAAGAAAAAGGGAAAGCGCGATGAGATAACCAACGCGGCCAGTGTGTGACGCATCAGCGAAGCAGATCGAAAACAAGCAAAAAGAACGTGTGCCTAAGGATGCTATAGGCAAAACGAGGAATCACCAGGTGTAAAAAAAGAAAAGATCAATAGTTCGACGAAGACAAAATTCGAACTTGCGCGACCAGAAGTCATATGCTGTGAAGAAAATTCAAGGCATACCCGATAACCACTCCGGCACTTCGTCCTTCAGTGTTCGTTAAGAGAACGTCCTCAAAATACAATCATGACGCCTGGGTCGCATACGAGGTGGCCTTCCTTCCAGGGTTATGGGGAAGTTGACTGACTCACACGTCCAGAATCACGGTTTGCGGTACGCAAGGAGTATAGTAAAGTAAACATTCATTTCGGGGTTACCCTTTGCTAGGTGTCAGCATGACTCGAAGTCGTGGGTGGCTCACCAAGGAGCTGCCTCATAGAAAAGGAGTCCCACTTTCTTCCTTGCTCCCCGAACAGATGATTCAATGGATGCATAGAAAGCCTCGCCTTCACGTTAATCACGCAGAAAAGTGCCATTCATCTTGCGAAGAAGAGATAGCAAGTCACACAAGCTGGGGTCTTGAAAGAACAAACCAGGCTTGACCCATGAACCTTCTGTCCGTCAATCACAATCTATCCTGGCTGTGATGCTGCGTTTGAGTATTCTTCACGAACTCCTTCTCAAGAATCAAGAAAATGCATAAAGGCTCAGAATATCGAAAACTTCATGCCGAGTCTGAAATGGTGGCTAAATGTTCTTGATCTGAGACTCGGTATATACGGTAACAAAACTCGAATAAATTCCTTGTTCTCATCAAGTAGAAAAGCCTTGTACCAATACTTCTAATCATGTTAGCTACCTACTTGCTCGAACTTGTCGAGAGTCGAATTTCCTACTAACCACATCTCCCTCCTTCGAGGTTACAACCCACAAGTGGAGCCTATGGCCACGTCTGACACGCACTCCTGACGCCGCAGCATGACTCGGTTCGTGGCTCTCGTCGGACACATGAAGTTACATCGGTGATTGGTGGACCTTAATCGCGATCCTCCATTGTTTTCAAGGTGCTCTGCAGACATGCAGACGTCGAGCCGATGCTTGCCCCTTTCCAGTCGAGAAACCTAGTCAAGACTGACGCCAAAAAGGGCAGCGATAATCAGAGAATGCCGTTTCGCAGGATGAGAACATGTTATGAAAGCTTTTTAGTTCAGATTCTCGTGCGACCACACATTATGCAGGGTTGTGGTAACAATAGACGTTGATTGCTGCTCAAAAATTCAAAGTCGGGTATCATACTAATCCAGTGCCCAAGCAACTCCATACCTCTGCCCGTAGCAACGCAATCGAATACTGGCAAAACCCACCAAAGGCTGTGCTTTGATACGCCTCACACGCGAGAATTCCACCTAGAATTGATGGAGTCTACGCGAGGACCCGTGCTTGCCCAGTCACCACGCAACGCAAGCCCTTTGTCCCTCCAGAACGTCTAATAAGTCTACAAGCCCCAATCCTTGCTCGCCCACCGGAGCCGCAGAATTATCTAAAGATTCTCTTTCCACCAGTCTTTGCAGGGAACCTTTCCATACCTGCTCGTGTCTGTTGATGCCAGCCCATCAAACTACCGCCTGATCCACCGCTGACACTAGCAACTCGCCATCGTCGGTATGCTTCGGCAAGATGGTCAGGTCGTAAGGGTGCCCGTCGACGATATTTCGACTGCTCACTGAGGCCCTCCTCGTTTTCCTGGTCATCGGGTAAGTCGGTCTGCTTCTCGCCTGCTCGCATCCATTCATCCTGCACGCGTCTAGCTTCTTCTACCATGTCGCCCAGAAATAGCTTGCAGACTACTTGCATAGCTTGCGGAATATTAGCGGCAACCGATTGCGAAGTCACCGAGTTGATGTACTGTGAGGCATCAGCATTGATAAAGGCAGAAACCACCAACTCCTAGCACTACGCACCTTTCTGACGCTCCCGACTGAGATTTTGGCCTGACGCCAGATCTCAACTCGATCAAACTGTTCATGACTCATCTTCTGCTTCAAGAGAGCACGATGGCGTTCCTCTTCTTTGACCTGCTCCTTGGATCGTGCGGCGGACTTGCTAGCCATGTCCTCGGGCACCTCGAAGGCACCTGCATCGCCACCGTCTCTACCAGCCTCGCCATCCTCATCCGCGCCTTGCTTGGCGCCACCACTAGTATTGCTTATCACGCTCGCAGCAGCACCATTCACAGCACTTGGCGTAGCACCTCTTGCAGCGTCGTCTGCGGCCTCGCGGGCTCTATCCGCTTTTGACTTGCGACCACGCTTCTTCTTGGTAGGAACGACGCTGACTTGACTACCAGAGACAAGGCTCATGTTATCGACGCTAGGCGACCGCTGGTACGAAGGCGAGAAGACTTGGCTGTGTGACTCATCGGGTGGGAAAGAGGTTTGGCGGAGAGGATGAGCGGAGGCTGCCGATGTGGCAGACATGATTGACGCCTTACGTCGCTTGATGGTTGGGTTGATGGGAGAGAGTTCGGCTGCTGCTGACCCACGCTTCTTGGATGGCGGAAGCTGAGCTGAGGATGGATATGGAGGGGAGCCGGCAGGCGGGGAGAAGGCGCGAGGTGGTGAGGCCATGTTCAGTATCAGTAATCGGGTACTGGAAGATACCGTTGCAGATTGACCATCTGGTTGATGCTGACAATCTACGATTGAGGTGTTGTCGAGGCCGAAGAGATGACAAGTGCACACACCATGAAGCTGCTCAGCAGGAACTGGCTGATGGAGCTGGTATGTTCAGGTCAACGTCGGACGGGATGGCGAGATACGGAATCGACTCCTAGATGCGAGCTTCGCAGATGGTGAAGATGAACAACGCTCTCTGCTGTCTGTGACGAACGGCAACTCTACTCAGAAGCTGCATAGGTTGGTTGAAGTTGCGACCAGGTCAAGCTTGGGCCACTGATTTGATCGCCCCGAATTCTGCCAGTCTGACCGCTTTCGCTAGCTTATCTTATCATCGCTCTTACACAGTACACAGTACAGTATGTACAGTAAGCCGCAGCGGGGCACCACAGACTAAGTCTCACACGTGGGATCGGAGTGGGGCACAGCGACCCCTGACGTCAAACCCCGTATTTGCAGGGACCGGCCATTTCAAAGCTTCTCAAGATTTGCTTGACTGTCCTGTCATGGTGAGGGGATTAATTGGTGGAAGGCGCGATTGGGAATTTTCTAAACGAACGGTTGAGCACCAGAAACTCGGAAGAGATAGCCAGAAGACATAGCAGCGGTCAAGCTTCACAGTCCAGCCCGAAAGACGCCTCATGGTCTTAGCTTGGTGCATGTTTCTTCCCTGCCTTTCTTTTCGTAAGACTGCCAATGATCGCGAATCGCGAGTTCTGACCACGTAAGGAGGGTCGGCTCGGAGCTTGCTTCCCGTCGCGATATTATCTCTTTCTACCTGCGACTCCCGGATTCGCTGCTACTCCATTCCTAGGTAGTCTCCACGACGACTCGATTGCTCTCAAGATGGTCGAATTCGCCGAACCACTCAAGTCCTCCAAGAAGGCGACGCGAGAACAATCCCGCAGCTCAAGTACTGGCCTTTCGGACATCGATGATGCAGTCAGCGATGGCACACAGGCGCCTTCTCCGGCGAGGGACAGGAAGTCAAGCAAAAAGAAAAGAAAGTGGCGATCAAAAGATGGAGCTGCAGATGAGGTCAATGGAGGAAAGTCTCTTGCGAAAAGAAGGAACAGCCTGAGCAAAGCCGCAAGAGACCCTCGGGACGAGCCGGAAGGCAAGCGGCGCAAGAAGGCAAAAGTTGCCGAGGAAAGCTCGACGAGATCTCCAAGTCCCGTTATTGATTTTGATGGACTCAGTCGCCCAAGTAAGACATTACCTACAGCGCATTGCGGATCTACTTGCTAACCATGAAGCCCGCGGAACCCGCGAACGCCTCGAAGAAAGTAGCGAACAAGCCGCAGAGCGACTTGAGAAGATGCGCGCAGCGATCCGGACAATACTAGAATGCGTTGGCGAAGATCCTGACCGAGAAGGTGTCTTGGACACCCCAACACGATATGCGAAAGCAATGCTATTCTTCACCAAGGGCTATCAGCAGAACGTCAAGGATATTGTGAACGATGCCATCTTCCATGAGGGACACAATGAGATGGTTATTGTCAAAGATATTGAGATCTTCAGTCTTTGCGAACATCATCTAGTTCCGTTTACTGGCAAGGTAGGGTTTGCGACTATGCGAACAGTTGTCTGGACTAATACGCGCGCAGATGCACATTGGATACATCCCGAAGAATAACGTCATTGGCATCTCAAAGCTACCGCGTATCGCAGAGTTGTTCAGCCGCAGGCTCCAAGTACAAGAGCGCCTTACCAAAGAAGTTGCCGATGCGATCATGGAGATCTTGAAGCCGCAGGGTGTGGCAGTAGTCATGGAGTCGAGCCATCTATGCATGGTCATGCGCGGTGTCGAGAAGACCACGGCAACCACCATAACGAGCTGTGTGCTGGGTTGCTTCGAGCGCAAGGAGAAAACGAGGAATGAGTTCCTCAGTTTGGTAGGACTTAACCGCAGAGTCTAGTCAACCAATATTTGGACATTGCATATGGGTATGGAGTTCAAGGAGTCGAAACTTGGGATCTCAACATCACCTCGATACAGGTAAGGGCGAATGCGGATGGTATGTGCATGCATTCAAAGAATACCAATGGTCTCAACGCCGACCAAAAAGAGGCAACTCGGTGCAAATACACCCTACTCCCTATTTAACATGTAGCGTAGTGACTGGCCAGCGTGACTGTACCTGGCTAAGTGATTATTAGCTTTCGCACTTCAATCTTTGCTTCTTCTCGTCGCGCAACAACTTTCTGCTGGAACCCGTCGCACAGGTCCGTCACACGGCCTCCAAAAGTCGTCTTAGAAATGGACATTATGGACAATGTTGTGCAATACAGCAGCCCTATTTAATTACACAGCTGTCCCGGTATTCTCTAGTGACACACATTTCCCACTGTTCAAGTTAACACTGCTTTATACTACGCAAAATAACCATGGCTCGAATCCTGCCTGAGTGAACCTTATCAATGTAAGTCATCTTCAAAGTAAGATAAAGAGGTCCGTACACAGTAGATCTGAACGCTTGAAGTGTAATAACTGACAATTAGTTAGAGAGGGAGGGAGGATACAGCAAA